CGCATGATCAGAGGTCAGGAAAACAGACCTTACGATGACAGGCTGAGAGCCATGGGGCTCTTTAGCCTGGAAAAGTGCAGGCTCAGGGGTGATTTGATGGCCACCTATAAGTTTATCGGGGTGACCACCAGGATCTGGGGGAACGTTTGTTCACCAGAGCACTCCAAGGGATAACGAGGTTGAACAAGACCGTTTCAGACTGGACATAAGGAAGAATTTCTTTCCTGTCCGAGCCCCCAAGGTCTGGAACAGCCTGCCATCGGACGTGGTTCAAGCACCAACGTTGGACACCTTCAAGAGCAAATTGAATGCTTATCTTGCTGGGATCCTAAGACCCCAGCTGACTTCCTTCCCTTTGGGTGGGGGGCTGGACTCGATCTTCAAAGGTCCCTTCCAGCCCTAATGTCTATGAAATCTATGAAATAAATACAGTAGATTTTATCATCAGAAGTGTATGAAGCGAAAAAATACATTGTTATTCCCTGGCCAATAAGAGAAAAACTATTTTAATTTATGTTAAGAATAAATCAAAACCTCAGCTGCAAACATCCTCCAAATTTTGAAGACAACTGAATTTAGACTGGGATCCAGATCTACATATTACAGCTGGTTCCATTGGGTCAGACCAATGCATCAGATGTAAAATGTCCCCAGTTGTTTTTGGGGCAGGAAACAGCTGTCACCTGGGAGCACTACACAAGAATCAAAAGTGTAAACATAACTAAAAGTTTGTATCATCAAATCTTAATATCTTAAATTTAATTTAAACTGAATTTGTCTTTAAATTTATAATTTGTTTCTTACTACATCAAATGGTCTAAGCAAAATGAAAGAAGGAACAGGAGGGGCTTATATTGTACCAGAATGACATGGTCCTCCGGAGCATGAATAATCCAGTGACACTGTGCCAGGTTACTGTAGGGTTCAGGATAGTGTATGCTTTGTATCACTCCTGCTTTAAAAAGGACAGCTAAGGACCCACAGCCAGAATCTGGAAACACACACAAGGAAAAATCAGAAGGAAGCAAACACTTCCCTTGTTTTATGTACAAAGGGAATTTGCTGCCCGTAGATCCTAGTAGTCCCAGTGGAAAAGAAATGCCACCCACTACAGTAACAACCTTCTCCTAAATTTGCAAAGAGCAGTCTGTAGGCACAAGGGCCTGCACTGAAGGCCAGAAGACTGCACGTCTTTTTTGGAGATCAGAGTGAAATGATAACCCAGCCAGGGGATAGGATCCTGCTGATACAGTTTGGGGTGGCAGTTCCCTTAAATTGAGGGTGACTGGAGCAACTGCAAGCTGTAGAAGCCCTCATATAGGAGTTCCTTTATCAATGAATGAAGCCAATTGCCAGCTACAAATCCAGATGCACACATGCACTTTACTCTAATCAGCTCTGCAGTAAAGCATCACCATCTACATGGGCACCCCTATTAGGCTGGAGTAAACTAATTAACTCTGCCGCAGGATAGTACTGCCCAACACAAGTACTATCCTATGGCAGAGTTATTTACCCTACCACAACACACATGTAGACAGTGACTGGGGTTGTCTGGGGCACTAGGGTGCTACAGTGTGGGGGCTGTCTGCTAGATAGCCTTGCACTGTAAGCACCCCTGTGGCCCTGCCAGTCCCTCCACAGCATATTGAGCAGGGGCTACTCTGACCTAGATCAATATGCTGCAGTCCTGGGCACGTGTAAATGTTGCATCCAGGGGCGATAAACTCTGGTGAAAACTGCACCCACTTTCTCCTTTTTTTAAGCCCCAAACCAGGCCTCAGCATGAACTCAAAGTTAGCCATCACTTCCTCAACACATGCCTAGCAGCACAAGTACAGAACAGCTAACTTCAGGTGGGCACTGACTTGGTACAATAAACCGACAAGGAATGTTTAATTCTACACTAACACTTACCAGGAAGAGCATCTGGTGAAACTGCTTTGTATGTCATGGAAAATCCAGCTCCATACTCCTTATTATCAGAGACAAATTTCAGCCTCATGCTATTGTAGCCCACTAAAATTGGCAACGGAGGATCATCACCACAGAATTTCCCTGCAATTAGAAAATTACAATAATTTAAAACCTCAAGAAAGTTCTTTGAGAAAATGTATACAGGGGTAACTACTAAAAGACTCAGCCACAGTAGCTGGTTGTAGATTTCCAACAATATGAATAGAATTAAAATTCTTATAGGCTCTTAGTTTATTGGCTGCCTGCCTTCTTCCCACTATCTATTTAAAATAAAATGAAGGAAAATCGTGTAGTGACAGGTTGCTAATAAGACAGACTGACTTCCTGTGATTAGCTGGGCTAATCATGGTTATGTATGTACTCCTATTCTGGATATGCAAGTGTGTATAAAGCCATAAAAATGTAACTGGCCAGAAACTCACAACTAACAGTTATTTAATAGAAATGGCAGGTTGTCCCAAGTTTTAGCCGTAGTAGCTGAGTAGTTAAGGCACTTAGCAAGGAGGCAAGATAACTGGGTTTCAAGTAACCCTCCCCTGCCCTTCCCCTCCCCCCTCAAGGGTTTTGAACCTGTTTCTGAGTTCTTAGCACAGTACTTTAACCACCACACCAGCATTATCCACTCCTTTCTCCAGTGCTCCTTTTGAAGATGGCCCCTGGGCAGCCAAGAGCAGGTAATATGTAGGGGCAGGACAAAGAATAGTAAAGCAGTGTACCCCTGGTGGTTGGATGTGGAGCAGTGTATCCCCGGCGGCCAGACGTGGAGGTGGGGGAGGTGCGCAGCTCCACACGTGGAGGTGCCATGTGGGAGCTTCCCCCACACCCCGAGTCCAGCCGGGTGGGCAGTGTCTGCACAGCATGGTGCGCAGCAGTACTCCATCCCTGCCCACCCACGCACACCCCCTAGGGCCTTCTTAAGTATCCCCGGGGGTATGTGTACCCCTGACAACCCCTGAACTAGAGGATATGCAGATCAGTGGGATTGCTACTGCCCTGGAGGAAAGGGGGCTGTGGGTTCTAGCCTGGACCCTTGTTCCCATTTGGACTAAATGTCCCCACTATGCTGCTTCCCCATCTGTTTTATCCACTGACTGTTAAATGCAGGGGCCAGTGCCTGAAGGAGCTGGTCAGAGGACTGGACTAATGCCTAATTGGGCACCGCACTTCAAGAGGGATGTGGACAACATGGAGAGGGTCCAGAGGAGGGCCACTCGCATGATCAGGGGGCAGCAGGGCAGGCCCTATGAGGAGAGGCTACGGACCTGAACCTGTTCAGCCTCCACAAGAGAAGGCTGAGGGGGGATCTAGTGGCCTGTTATAAAACTAGTCAGGGGGGATCAGCAGGCTTTGGGGGAGTCCCTGTTCCCCCAAGCACTGGCAGGAGTGACCAGAAATAACGGTCACAAGCTGGCAGAGGGTAGGTTCAGGCTAGATATCAGGAGGCACTACTTCACAGTCAGGGTGGCTAGGATCTGGAACCAACTCCCAAGGGAAGTGGTGCAGGCTCCTACCCTGGGGGTTTAAGAGGAGGCTAGATGTACACCTTGCTGGGGTCGTTTGACCCCAGTACTCTTTTCTGCCATGGCAGGGGGTCGGACTAGATGATCTACTCAGGTCCCTTCCAACCCTAGAAACTATGAAACTATAACTTGTGGTGTGCTGGCTAGAGCACTTTGCTAGGATGCAAGAGAAATACAGGTTCAAACTCCCTCTGGGTGAGAGGACCTATAACCTAGATCTCCTGCTTTATAGATGAGTGTCCTAACCATGCAGCTACAGGGGCTAAAAGATGAACAGGTTTTCCTCCCTCTCCATTTTTCCAGGAGTTGTGCTCAGCTACATGCAATGCATACCTAAGCAAAGAACAGACCATGGATGCTCAGTCTATGTATGTATGGTTGAGTGTCCACACTGCAGGGGTAAGTCAACTGCAAGCAGTGTGTAAGAGACAAAAACTGAACTTGCACAGATAGTAAACTGCCATTTCAGCATGTGAAGTAAAACAGAATTCTGTTCCAAGTCTGTGTCAGTTAAGTATTTCCAGTAACTGGCAGGAGTAATAAGCTGTTATCTAGCAATCAACATAATAGAAAGAGATGGGTTGCAAAAGAACTTTGACAGTCCACTTTATTGCCGAAACGACTGCCTATCGTGGCCAATATTGAGAGTTGAAGACTGGAAAGAATCTGTTGTTTCCTTGAGTCCCCTTATTTGTTTATGCTCATCTGCTGTCTCTTGTTTTAGACTATGACCTGTATGAGACAGGAACTTACTCTGTTGTGTTTGCGTACAATATCTACCACAGTGAAGTGCTGGTCCATAACTTGGATTTCTAGGCATTACCGTAATACCAGCACCACCATATACAACACGCAGAAATGGGTTGTGTGTGATCAGTGGGTTGTATGTAATGAGAGACAGCCCAAAACTAATGGATCTAGTTTAATTAAAACTTTAGAAATATTGATGGGCTTTCTAAAATATTTCATAGAATCAGTAAACAGCAACTCACCAACAAGCCTGTCATCTTTTGAATACACCAGCAAGGAATCATAGTCACAGAATGTGTCTGGCTCTACATCAAAGTGGGAAAAATTAAGAAGTATGTGCATTCCTTTTGGGACAAGAAGAGTCCACACACACAACCTGGAAAGACACATTGGGTAAGTTCCTGTTTACATATCATATGATGAATTACAACTGCAAAAGTATTACAAGTAGTTTTGGAAAAAGGAATGTATTTCAGCTACTCACTGGTTGTTTTCGTAGAAATGCTTGGGACTTTCAGGGAAACGTAATGACCCTTCATTGCCACGCAGTTTGCCATCCTGACTGCTACATGAGGCTGCATTGTGGGATTTGAAATGAAACAACAGAAAGTTAGGTTGTATGGAACACTAGAGGTTCTTCTGATATCTAAGGGAGATTAGTTGTAAGATTTCCCTACCACATTTTTGTCATGAAATTGGTTTTATCTTCTGCCTTTCCTCCCCAATTGTATGAAAACAAGACCATTTTAATCCATAGTGAGATCAGAAAAAACCCTATTGAATTTAAATTCTTTCATAATGTTAGTTTAAAAATGTAAGTGCTGTAATTTTTATAATGAACAAAATATCTAACCATTGAAGAATTGCATACAAATATGCACAGAGGAAGTGCAAACCAAAACATGTAAAATAATACTAACTCTAAAATATGCCCAGTTTCTCTCTAATATTTTTTTTCAGTTCCACAATAGGCATCTCTCTCTCAGCAAACTGGTAAATCATTAGGCATATTTTAAGTGACAATAATTTCATTGAAGTGCTCAAATAAACTCAAAAAACATTGTTACGAGTAGAAGTTTTCCCTACTGGCTTCCCCACCTAGCAACATTCCATAGTTTACCACAAAAAAAAAACCTCCCAAAATAAATTATTTTTCATTATTTTTGACAATGTGTTTGGATCTATAAAGGATAAAAAACAAAACACACTTTTCACTGGCATAATTTGGCAGCTAAGCATCTAATTTATATTAGGAATCAAAGCAAGGGAGGCACCTAGACACAATTTGTTCCTCCTGAAATTCTCTCTACTTTGATAAAAGTAATTAAAATTCAGAGACCCAATTTACATAGGACTGGTTTCTATTACACTTAAGTTGACTTGCACCTGACTGCATAAACAATCCAGATGTGATAGTAAGAATGTCATGATCAATTTAGCCCCAAAATCAAATTCATCATCCTTCATATAGTTTGCTCATGCTCTGCATTTTCATCCTAAAAGTACTAAAAACATCTCTCTCTCTTACTTTCTGTATAGAATCAATTTTACTTTACAGTTCCCAAATGCTGCTTTAGTTCATTCCACGTTTGCATTTCAATATCATTTATTTTATATTGGGACTTCTATGGGAACTTTTTTCAAGTGCCATTCATTTCTTTTTAAAATCAACAGGACTTAAACATATGCCTACATTCTTTACTGTATAAGAACAAACTTATTATTATTTACTCAAATTTTAGATGAGATTATCCCCCCATTCAACATGGGGGGGAAAAGCTCCTCATCTTACATTCACATACAAAGAAACCTCATAAAATATCATTAAACTGCTACCCAAAGCAGCACCTGCTCAGTAATGAAAACCAACCAACTATGAAGTTGATTACTTGCAGCCAACATGGAACACATAACTAAGGATCCTGGTTCTCTGTTTAAAAATCACAAATTATCTCATTAAAAAAACCCAAAATCTGCATTTTTACATTATTAAAATGAAACATCACTCTGTATATAGGTATTAGTTGAACACAGTGTTTACTGATATATTTATAATTTTAAAGCAATTTGTGCCTCAATCACTAAAATAAAATAAGTTCTAAATATCTATAAATGTTGGCATTTGATTTTGGGTTTTTTATCATGGAAAAAAATCAGAGCTCCCCCTACCCCCTTTACTCACCAGGATGCAGGTCCAACTGTGGCTGTCCCCCACCCCACTGCTTTGTGGCACTGAGCAACCCCGATATGCTGGTGCCCTGCCCATGCCGTTGCCCCTTGCTCCCAAGCCACAGCCCTCCAGCCCTGCTGGTGCCTCTTACTCCCTACCCACAGCCCCCTGGCCCTGCCAGTGCACCTCACTGTTGAGCTAGACCAACACCACCACCCCCCCAGCCCTGCCAGTGCTCCACACTTCAGACCCGCAGCCCCCTGGTTCTGCTAGTGACTCTCACTCCCCAGTCACAGCCCCCTGTCCCTCCCAAGCCCAACCAGGGAGGGCCCTCAGCTGCCAGGGCTAGGGGACCAGGGACCCAGGTCAGCAGCTCCCTGCTCCCTCCCCCCCAGCAGTGCCTAAGCCCTGGCTACTGCCCATGGGACGTGGCAGCTGCTGTGCACCAAAGCAGAGTGTGGAACCCAGCTCCCCCTGTGCCATACGTGGCACCACTGAAACCTGTCAGGAGAGCGGATGCAGGCTGGCCGCTCTGGGCCTGGGGGTCCCCACTGTGCTGCCTTCTCCCTGGAGGCCTCTGTAGCCCAGTAGGTGGGACCAGGCGTGGGAGAGCAGAGCACAGTAGGCAGGCTTGGTGTCACTGCTGGGAGCCCTGAGCCACCATGGCAAGGTGTCCCCTGCCCACCTAGCAGCAGCAGGGGGCACAACCCTGTGACACCACATCCACTGCTGCCAGGTGGGCAGTCAGGGCCTCACCGTGGCGGTACAGGGCTCCTGGCAGTGGTACCGAGCCCCCCTGCACCACTCTGCTGCACCGGGCAGAGCCAGCAGCCCAGAGCCTGCAGCAGCCAGTCCATATCTGCCCCTGCCCTGCACACAGATCTGGGGGGCAAGTGCCTACCATGCCCCCCCCAGGAGTGTACAGAGTGGCAGGGAGCCAGCCCAACTGCTACCCCACTGATAAGCTGCTCACAGCTCCCTGCCAGGGCCCTGTGGCCATGCATTCTCATCCCAGCCCTGGACCCCAAGCCACAGGCCCCACAGATCACCCCAGCCGGGCAGTGCCCCAGCCCTGCCCAACTCTCTCCCTCCCTCCCTCACTATGGAGGCCCATTTTCCACCCTACAGACCTACCTGTGGGGAGCTGCAGGAGCTGCTCCCCACATTGCCTGGCTGCCACATACATATGTGCACACAGACATACATATGGCACCCCCTGCCTGATCGCCCTCCTCCCACTCCCCCAGGCCCCTTGCAGGCTGGAACTCTGCCAGCGTGCAAGGGGAAACCCTCTGTTTCCTGCATTTTTCTCCTTTAAATGAGAAAATCAGTGGTTTTCTCTTAAAAACAGAAAATCCACATTTTTCTCCTTAAAATGAGAAAATCCATGTTTTTTTGCATTTTTCCATGCTGAATGGAAAATCTGGATTCCTACACATAACCCATATTGGGCAAACACTGATGGGACGCTTTGGTTTTTTGTGGCCCTTAAAAAAGGGCAGCTGCTTGCCCCGAGTGGAATAAGCACCTGACCTGGAGGTATTGCAATACTAGGCTAGCACTTGGAGAGACCAGAACAAGCTCCAACACCCTCCCTTGGTGCCACAAATACTGATGGGAACTTCTTTGTTTTTTGTCTGTGTGAGATCCTTAAACAAATAGGCAGGCATTCCTTCCACAGGGAACTGGCATTGGGCCTGGAAGTACTGCAATGTGACCTTAGACAAAAAGGAAGAAATGCTGATAGGAATGCATTTTTTTTTTTTTTTAGCAATTTTTTTTTTATGTTCCAAGCCAACTTAGTCAAATCAAGTCCAAATCCGTGGGTCATTCAAAAACCATACGTGGCCCTACTACCAGCAAACATCCTTCACCCCCACCTGGGGCTTCAGATGTTGCCAAATCATTTGGCAGGCATCCTACATGCAGGCCCAAGCCTGGGAGCTTGCAGTTCAGACACCCCCAGGTTTCACTTGCCCTCACCCGTACAGCCACAAGAGTAAACTAGGGAGCATCTCCCATTTCCATAAAGTGGGCATAAAGCCAAGATCTTCCCACAGGCAATGAACATGGGAAGGTAACCATACGTTACTTCTATGGGCACTACCCCACACCAGAAAGGTGGTTATCCCCTGTCCCTGGGAAAACCACCACCTTTTTTTTTTTTTGTGCAAATATATACAACTCATACATACATATACACACATATATAAGGTGATTCCTGTTTCTTCAACAGCCTTAAATATCTGGCAAACATCATCAAATGGGGCCACAAAAATTCATCCAGGCGCCCTCTGTTGTCTCCTCTTTCAGCCTGTTGAATATGATTAGTATGGGCTTGCCCTCCATGAGGTGGAGATAGACCAGGTTGCCCTGCACTTCATCTATATATACATTTTTGGAGGACCCCAGGATTCATGACAAGAACATTAAATTCTAGTCATGGGTGGGAGACTAATTAGCACGTGGATCCTTTGTGGGGGATATATGGAGTACATACTCACACACACAGACTGAGCAGTGCTGAGGTGTGGGGTTACCATGACCTGAAACTGTTGATTCTGCTGGGGCCCAGCCCAATGAAATATGTGGCAAGTTATGAGCCTTTCAGTTTTGGACTAATATCATGCATAGTTTTGTATATGTTAAGGTGTATGATGTCAGTTATGTTTTGTATTATGTAATCCTGGAAAACGTTATGTTTTGTGAGGCTTCTGCTGGGGTCATTTTAGACTTCTGGCTTTGTTTGTTTTCTAATAAAATGTTTAAAAAAGACAAAGTTTGTATGATAGCAGAGGTTTCCAAAATTGTTCTTGTTGCATACCTGCTTCTAGATGTACCAACTACCTGCATATCCTTATCAGCATACATTTTATATTTTAATTCCTTAAATGCCGACTATTATTATAATGAAAATTAAATCTGCCATTACACAATTTCTCCCGTGTACCACCCAGAGATGTCTTGCATACTCCCAGGGGTACAGGTACCACAGCTTGGAAACCCTGTACTATAGTATGAAAGTGCTGCTTGAAAGTGTGTTTATGTACTAAACACACCTGTACTAAAACTTGCAGCAGTTTCAAAAAAAGGTAAAATGCATCAATTCTGGATAAGCTAAGTCTATGCAGACCCATAGTATGAACTCAATGTTTTCAAATTTGTTCCTCATTTCCATATGATCAGGAAGAGCAGGGTCTGACAGTAAGGAGGAAGTGGGGGAAGGAACTGCAGGGAGAAGGAATTGGGGGACCACATGCCTCCCCCAGATTTATTTTCCCTGCTGTAGCAGTGGGAGGTGGACAAATTCAAGGCAAACCTCCAATAATAGGATTCTATACCTGGAGAATTATAACGAATTTATACATTTTCCATATATAGAATCTAATTTTTGGTTTTCTTATATTCAGGGTCACCTTATAGTCAAGTAAATATGGTAGATGTATGAACTACAACAAACATTTAAACACTTTGCTGAATATTGGCATAGGCAGACAACATTTTTCCCCATCATAGATGATATAACAATCACAGATATAGCATGGAGAATTTTTTAAAGCTCTAACACAGTCAGATGATTAAATAGGATCTGTACTCACCTGTAGAACTTTTCATTTTCAAGTCTAGTCCAGAAAGAATGGACGGGCAATGGAGGAGAAAAAAAAATTTTAGTAGACTACTTTTGGTGTCATAAAAATATTTGTAGGTTTTACCTCTGTTAGAATGAACATATTTTTTTCAAACACAAGTGTGATTTATATCCAACCTCCAAATCTGAGCTAATATTTGCCACCTTTTAGATTTTGTCCTTGCATAAAATGTTAATCTTGAATAGACCCAGTGAATACAAACTAAGGCATGTCAGTTTGGGCCCAGGATATAAACAGCTGAATATTTAAGTGTCACTCAATGAAAATTGTAATTCTAATTTAAAACATACACTGGACTCACTGCCACTAAGTTGTCTTGGGAGAAGATAAAAGAAAAGGAGAAGACAAAAGAAAGCAGCAGTCATTATTTGAAATTGTTGTAAGGGTGCTTGTACACATGATGTAACTAACAGTGATGAGAAATCATCATTTGCTAACATCATGGCATCACCGTGTGCACGTGCACAATTATTTTTTCATGTTAAAACATATTTGAGTGTGGCAACTTAGATTGCCTAAGATGTATTTTAGTTTGATTGGGGCAAACTGTCCCATAGTGGATAAAAAAAATCGTGCATGTCTGGTGGCCAAAGCAGGTGGCAGGGACAATGCATGGGGTGATGAAAGCCTGGGTGGCTTGTGGAAGCTTGGGCCTGGTGGGCTTCCAGTGCCTTATGTACCATCCCCACCACCTTCTCTGGCTCCTAACACACTCAGCTGCCCTCCTGCCACCTTCTCACACTGCCCCAGGGGCAAGCCATCCTGTTCCTGGGTGGTCCCAGGTAGCAGGAAGGAGGCAGGGACAATGCATGGGGTGCTGGAAGCCCATCAAGCCCAAGTTTCCCTGGGCATGCCTGGGCTTCCAGCATCCCGTGCACCGCTGAATCAGGCCGGGTGCTGCCTGGGAGCTGGGGCATCACCCACCCAGCTAGCACCCTGCCCAGGCAGCCCCAGGGGAACACTAGTGCCATAGGGAAGCACTGAGCTCCCCTACAGTCCAGGGACTCTATGACCCAGCAGCATCTTGAGTGGGGAGGCTCTTCCTGAGGAGGGGGAAGGAGGAGGGAAGTGCGATCCTTTTTTTTGTTTTCTTTGTGGAGCCTGCCACCTCTCCCACAGCTGGAGGATGAGCTGCCATCAGCCCCCGAGCTGCAGGGGACCCTGGACCTTCCCTCCACAGGGGCGGTGCCCCCTGGGGCTGCCTAGACAGGCTGCTAGTGGGAAGATGCCACCCAGGGGGCGCCATTGCTGTGGTGGGAAGGACCAGGACCCCCTGCAGCTCAGGGCTCCCTTGCTGTGGGAGAGGTGGTAAGGCTCTGTGAGGGGGGAAAAGGATTTGGCCCATCGCCACTTC